AACTTGAACTTCGACTTCTATTTAATTTATGTTTGAAAAAAAAAAATATTTTTGCTTACGTTATTTCAATCAAGTATTTTAATTGACAAAAAAAAAATTGTTATATTGTTCAGTAGACAACTTGGACACATTACTTAAGCGAAAACCATGAAGGCAGAAATATTGACGATTGGTCACAAGTGAACTTACTTGGTAACAATCTTGACCATGTGTGATGAGTTTTCTTCATGCTTCAAAATTTAATATGTGCATATTGGGTCATGAACCTTATAGCGGTGATATTGATCAACAGTGATATCTCCATTGCTGCTATCGTTAATCTTTTCTGCAATTAATCATAGAAAATTTATTTATTTAGAGCATAAGAGTAAAAGTAGCACGATTTTGTTATTTTAACTAATTGATGATTTGATTGGACAAACCTGGATATTTGTGGGTGAAGGTATCCCAAATGCTTGGTCCTCTACCACCTTCTTTTGCAGCACCTTCATACTGAAATACACAAGAGACACAATGAAGAAGATGTCAATATTCTTGCTTGGATCGATGCTTGGTCTGAATTTGAAAGAAAACCCTAATCAAAAGTCAAATTAAAGCCCAGAAAAGGACTTACTTGGTAAGATCCAGAACCTACACCAAATATGAACCCTTCTGGAAAACTGCTCCTATTGAGAGAAGCAGTGTCAAAATGTGTGGGTGGAGCTCTAATATCAGCTTCGCTATTTGTCAAAGCAAAGCCAATTAGTAGCAGTATGCCTAAGAGAAAAGAATAATGTAATTGCATTGCCATAACTTGAGGTTTTTTTTGTTGTTGTTGGTAATAATCTTGAAAAGTGTAAGTTGGCTATGGCTGTCATGCTGCATGGCCTTTATATAGAGGAGGAAGTACGTGCTGCGCATGAGAATAGTAAACACACATGGGCATTGAATGGGTTTGAGGGGGCAACTACGTAGAATGTCAAAGGGAAATGGCGAGTTTCATATTTGAATGAGTTTGTCTCCTCCCAAAACTCAACTGCTATATTCAAACACGCAATATAAGTCTCCTACTAGCCGTTTGGGTCAAACTGTGAAAAGAAATTTGACATAGAGTTGTTTTCTTCACAATGTAAATTTGTAGATTGTTTAAATTATTGGGCATAATATTTATGGTCAAAGCATGTACAATTCTCATAGCAATTTTCTTTCTGTTTACCCTAAAGATAAACGTGCAGGAATGACTTTTTGTTTACCCTTCATTCCTTTGGTTTTAATGGTATTTTTCTTCCCATAATAAATATTTATCTAATAAATCCCTAATTTCTTGGAATATATATTCTTTTATAGGTACAGTTATCCTGGAAATGAAACAAGAAATCAACCCAAAGTAAGTTTCAGTTTTTGAAAACCAACCAATTGTACAAGGCACAAAAAAGAAATCAAATAAAACTAAATATTCTAGTTCGTTAAACAAAAAAGAAATCACATATATTATGTACAAAAATTTTAACAATCTACAAACGTACAGTGTCAAGAAAATAATGGTCCGTCAAATTCTTGTCAAAATTTGACTCCGTCAAATTCTTTTCAAAATTTGACCCTTTGGGAGAGTAAATCAGAATTTGCAGCTACTCACACTATTCGTGTTTGATTATTCATCCAAATTTGAAACTTTCCATGCCAACCAGAGTTGCGCCCTCAACACCCTTCTAATGGCATGCACACGTGTTTTGCAAAGAAATTTGTTTCACCGTGCCAACCAGATAGTCAACTTGTACTTATCAAGATTACCAACAAAAAACATCTCAAGTTATGGCAATGCAATTAGGTTCTTTTCTCTAATTTCTATTTATCAATTCACTTATTTTCACATTTTCTGATATTATATGAGATTTCCCTTCATGTCCTAATTCAAGGTACATCATCTTTTGAAAACTTCAAAAGAGTAGCAAAAGGGAAAAACGGCTTGAATTTATTTTATTTTATTTAAAAAAGTCATCACTGCATGTTTATCTTATTGGACTCTAAATATGCAAGGATGAGTTTTCCACGTACGCCAACTACACACATGTTCAAGCACATCTTAAAATCATTATCACTTCTTCACGTTCTTCTTTCATCCCAAATTAAAACTTACCTTTCGAAATCATTTTTTTAATATTTTTTTAATCTCGTACAATTTTATAAAGAATCAGTGCTATTATTAATTTTGACATGCATCTATATGTAGAATAAATTTATTTTTTTAAGACAAAAGTCATTTTGGTTCCTGTAACTTACCACTTTTACCACTAAAGTCCATGTAGTTTTAATTCTGAGCAATGCAGAACAGACAGCAGCAGGAATGTACGTTGGATCAATCCAAGTGAATATGGATTAATCCAAGTGAACAATGCAAATGATTTTACCTTTGAACTGCAACCAGGAGACATGGAAGCCCTTCAACCCACACTAATTCTAACCTAGAATCTAGTTAATATTACAAGGGTTTGTTGGTTTAAGAGAAGAGCCAAAATACAATATTGGTTCAAATGAGAACCTTACACTCTCTCTCTCTCTCTCTCTCTCTGTGGCTGGGGAATGGTTGTGGAGGGGATGCAAGATTGGACCGAAATGCCCCTCTATATTAGAGTAATTTGACCAAAAAAAATTGAGCCTTGTCCTTGAATTGCTAAGAATTCAAACTACACGGACAAAATTGATCAAATTGAAACTACAGGGGCCTTAGTGGTAAAAGTGGTAAACTAAAAGGCCCAAAAATGACTTTTTCCCTTTTGTTAATGTGAAAATTTTAATGTAAACTAAAGAGCGATCCGACCGCTCGATTGACACCAAACTCTCAGAATTTGTTAAGTAGACCTTGTTGGACTCATAGGAATGTTCGGATCAGAAATCGGAGGTTGTGGGCCTCGCGGGCCTAATTGGTCAATTCCACGATCGGGGTCAAACCGATCGATGGATCGTGACAAGACTTTTAGAATGGGCTGAACTTATGGTTATGGACCAATAAGAATTGGCATATAACAAATTGAGGTCGTGAGCCCTACGAGCATAGTCGATTTAGATTGTGGGCTCTGTCGGCTCAGTTGATGCCATTAGTAGTTGTAAATGTAATTGGAGCTTTGTTTTTAGAATGATATTATACTATGAAAGATTATTTAAATGTTTATGACTTACTATGCAATCGCATTTACTTTCTAAGTATATTATATTATGGTTAATTGTGTAGAATTGGGAATGACTTGTTAATCGGATTTTGGCGTGAATAAGAAATTAATTATATGTCTAATTATATGTCTATATTTAACATATGCTCAATGGCTTGAAATCGATGAATTATGGATACTAGTTCTCAATAGTATGTGGTACATATTTAAATGTAGTTGGGAACAGTTTTGAAAGATGATGCATGGTCAAACTCAATTAAGGAATGTTGGGATTGATCTCGTTTTAAAAATGGATTTGTGGAATAAGAGGAATTTTATGATAAGTTTCGGAATATGGTTTTCACACCCACCACAGGAGTACCCCCCCAGTTGCCTTTGGAACAGTCCTGTCATTTATGATAATGCCCCACGAGTCTCGGGGACGCCCGAATCGTGTGGTGCGAGGATTTGCGTTCTCAGGTTGATTATATCTTCCTGGGTCATGCGATGGATATGAGTTCTCGGGCTGACTATGTATCCCCCGAGTTCTATGAGGATGTAACATTCATGGTACTTGGAATTGATGAAATATTAGTGGAATTGACGGATTATGAATTGGGGTACGCCTAGGGTGGATGTAACATAAATAAGCAAGTATGAGTTTTCCACGTACGCTAACTACGCACATGTTCAAGCACATCTTAAATTGAAACTTACCTTTCGAAATCATTTTTTTAATATTAGTTTTAATCTCCTAGAATTTTTTATGGAATCAGTGCTATTATTAATTTTGACATGCATCTACGTGTAGAATAAATTTATTTTGTTAAGACACCATCTTCCGAAGTTCTAAATAATCTACTGATCAAACGCTGTAGGGGCAGACTGCTCTACATTCAGCCACGCCATAGTGACCCCCAAAGAGATCTTCTTCTAGTTGCGGGACGAAATCCAATAGCCAATTGAAAAGTCATTTTGTTCCCTGTAGCTTACCACTTTTACCACTAAGGTCCATGTAGTTTTAATTCCAAACAATACAAGGAAAATCTCCAATTTTTGGTCAATTACTCTAACATGGAAGGGCATTTCGGTCCAACTAATAGACCCTCCACAACCTGACAGGACCCGCCCTGAATTCCTCAGAACCCGAGACGAATCCTATGGAAAAATCTGACATCACACCAAAGCCAGGGCCTCTTACCAATACTATAGCCTCTTTTCCAAATTAAGGAAAATAGGTACCAGACTTTCTGCTGCAATTTTGGCAGAGTCTCCCCTGTAAAACGGACATTACCAATTTTTCGAACATGTCAAAACACAGTTAAATATCACCAACCGGCAGTATGCACAAGCTAAATTCATGCAGTTTACAAAGATGCCCTCTGGCCTTCAAATAACTCGAAGCAGCACTACCAGCAATGCTCTTAAGTCAAAAATGAAAATGAACGATGCAATTAATTGAACTCCAACTCATTTATGCATGCCCTCTGAAAATAACATATAATATCCTCCCAAATTCTGTCATGCAATGTTTAACAACAAAACACTATCGTAAGTAGGTTAAGGACTCGGCTCTAGTCGTACAACAATCCAAGACGAGAATCATATCTGTCTTGACCACAACCACACTTTAACACCACTCTCTTAGTCAAACGGAAAATACAAATAAACCCCCACTCCAGCCTCGTTTCCAATCGAGCTTAAGGACCATCGACAAAGTCAAAACCAATTTCATCCAAAGACCAAAATAACTTCAGTTCGTGGCTGCACCTAGGTAAGACCTCAGGTTACCTACGTACCCCTTTGCGAGGGATCAAGCCACACGTAATTCTAAATACGAAAATCCCGATTCAAATAACATATGATCATTTTCAGCAATACTAACAAGTAGATTCTAGAATTATTCCTTTCCCTTTACTTTAAATTACGTCATACCCATCATAATCTTTTCTAAACATTAAACTTTCCCCGACATAGTATAATAGTCACTTTTTCCTCTCCTTGTTACTTTACTACACGCCGGAGAGTCCAACGCCACGCGTAGTAAAGTATCAGTAACCCAAGTATACGGATCCTCTATCACACGCCGGATAATCCAACGCCACGTGTGATAAGCTAATAACATAACCATACATGCTCACACGCTGGATAATCCAATGCCACGTGTGGCAAGGTAACTAGTATTTCAATGAGCCCACACGCCGGAAGATCCAATGCCACGTGTGGCCCAACTAAACCATGTTCTACGCACGCGGACTACTTCATCACACGCCGGAAGATCCCACGCCACATGTGATACTAACAAGAAGATCATATATACCTACACGCCGGAAGATCCAACGCCACGTGTGATACTAACAACAAAATCATATATATACCCACACGCCGAAAAGTCCAACGCCACGTGTGGGCCCAACAATCAAGGGAGGGTACATAGTATAGTGCAACCACATATTCACATCACCAATCAATAAGGTACCCCAAACTCATTACATACTCTTGTCCAGTTATTTAATCATAGAGTGGATAAAAATTCCTCAACACACATAATCCAATATCAAATTAATTAAGCCTCAAAAACTGAAACACCCATTACTAAACAGATCCTTCCCATCTAACTTAAATATATATATATATATATATATATATAAATACACATATCATAAAATAACACCCGTACTTCCTTGTTGAAAA